GCAGCAGGGCTCTGAGGGAGAGTGGGCTCACAACCCTTGAAAGGGCAGAACCTCTTACTGGTACAAAACAGAGGGCAGGTCACAGGCGACACAATCTCCCTTAATCAAAGTCAGGGAGGAGCTGGTGAAGTGTGACTGGAGGGTGTACACACAGTCGTGTACCCAAGTACAGGGAGTATGAAATTCCTCTGTGGTCAACCCCTGCTTAGGCACGCTAATCAGAGAATCAATTCGGACCATTAAATACTGCCAACAAATGCAAACAAAGTGATATATAATGCATTTGGCTTCAGGATGAATCACAAGATATTTTACAGTCAATCTTCTTAACTTAAGCTATTAAAATTAAGCCTCCTTCTCTTGAGGCACATCTCCCTGGATGAAAAAGAAAGTCACTTGGGAAATTCTAAATCATGGTTAGTGAGGCTAGGTAGGGTGAAAGGATATGAGCTCTAATCATATGGCATCGAGAGTGCATATGGATGAATTATTTTATTTTATTTTGTTTTAGAGAAAGATGTAAATGAGAAACATACTGGAAGGGAATACACAAATAATAAAACAGTTAAATTCAGATGTTAGAATATATACACCTTCTCTATATATGGAATTTATGTGTTATTCTGTTACATGTAATTATGTATACATGGTATATGTATCTTTCAATTTATTATTTTTCCACATTTTCTAAGTTTCTTATAATAAGCCTGCATTTTAGTACTTGAAGTAAATGCAGACACCACAGATGGGTGATAATGCCCATTATGATTGACTGGTTGATTGATGTGACCTACATCAAAGGTGCTTGTCCCTCTCCTGCACACTCTAGACAATATCAAGAGAAATATTATCACGAACATTATCTGTCCATTTTTTTCTTTGGGCTTGTTCTCTACTAAAGTACCTGAGCCTCTCCTGGTTTCCTAAATGATTTTCTGACAGTAAATATAAGAATGAAGTCTTGATTACTAAAGAACTTAAGTATTTCTGGATGTAAATGTCATATTCTTTATGGTATCTTCACCGCTTAGCCCAGGACATGCAAGAAATTGTTGGATGAATGAATGAGTGAATGAATGAAATGGCAGTGGCTGCTCTTTAAGCCAACTGAGGCAGTAGGTTCAGGCTGAGGTCGTCCTGCTGGCGTTGGTGTGAGCTCATTAGCAACAGCGCAGGTCAGTGCCATCAGCAGTGGCAGCTCATGGTCTTTGCTCCTGTCCAGTCCAGGTGTAGAAGGTGCTCACACAGCACAGACTGCTGAGGGGGAGGGCACTTCTCATGAAGGTGCAGGCATCATGAAGTTTCCACCAAATTCACATTTCACCTTAGGGTGTTTGCTTCCTTATTGGTTTTATTGGTCGCTTCTTCCTTAAGGGAAAATAGGCCTGGTTCCGTGGAAGGCATGCATATTCCTACATAAAGCTTCACTTGGATTCTGGTGGTTGTGCCAGGATTGCCTTTGATGGTCCCTACTCTGCCTGATGCTCTTGTTGGAGCTTGGCCTCTGAAGACAGAAGTAAAGTGGCATCGATGTTAGATTTCACCCAAAGTATGAATCTGGGGGCTCGTCGGCCCAGGGTTGGAGTCAAACATGCAGGTCGTTGGATGGATTCAAGCCTGGAAGTTAGTGGAGTGACAGCAGCAGAAGGACATGGAGTGAAAGATTCAAAGATGTGGCTAAATGGAGGGTGAAGTCATGCATCCAGGTTTTCAGGACAGATAGGAGAGTAAATGGAGTCATGCCTGAGTTAATGGAGTGGGCAAAATGGAAGGGTTTAGCATACAGGTTAGCCGTATAAGCTCTGGGGCGCTTGCCAGCTTTTTAACACGTTTGTTAATTGTGTGACTTTGAGGGAACTGCTCTAAGCTGAGGCTTCCTCATCTGTAACATGGAGATAGTAATGACACCTGCATCTGTAGAGTTGTGAGGATAAATTAGATAATATACACACCAGGTTGGCATATAAAAAGCTTCCAGCAAATATTAACTACAGCATTATATTCTTACTGAGATTCAAAAGAAGAGGGGATTTGAAAGGGACACTAAAAGAGAGAGAAGGAGAAGGAGAGTTGGTCAGAGAGTGGTGTGACAAAGTGAACGTTCTAAAGGTGGAGCAGTTCCATGTGATGATAGCTTCTCAACTGAGCCAAGGTCATGGGTCTCTGGGATGGGTTGCGAATAAAGGTTTTTAGTTCAGGAGGTAAAGAAATTTTAAGGTTGAGGTGTTAGATGGGTTAGAGTCAATCCTGATGATGAGTGGAGCTGAGTGAAGAGCAGACAGTGCCACAATTCTAAAAGGAGGTGAGTCTGGAAGACAGTAAATGACATCAATCTACAAGCACCTCAAGGAATGTCAACACCGCCTCTGGGTCCTACTGGGTGAGAGCAGGAGAAGGAGGAGACTCCAACGAAAAAACCTGGAGATTCTGGTATCATGTGAAGAAAGAGATGTTTCTATTTAGGAAAGGTGTGGGAGAAAAAAAAGTATTAAAGTATTTGGAGATATTGGGGGTGAGTTTTGTTTTTTGCAAAGGAGTCTGGAATGTAACTTAATTTTGATGACTCATTTGTGCTGTAAGCAATAGCTTTGTGACAGGAGGAACATTATAAAGAAAGAGAAAGAAGGGACAAAAGAAGAAAGGGGAAAATGGAAGGAATAAAGGAAGGAAGGAGGGAAGAGAGAAAAAGATAAATTCGATCTTGGTACTTGAAAAGGTACCCACAATGATTTGTGGGGAATCTTTACATATCAGTCTTGGTACCCTAGTCAGCTATGGGATAGCCGAAAGTAATAAAATCCATTCATGTCATATCATTCGTGTCCACCCTATGCACAAACATCCCACACACACCCTCTCCAAGTGGTAATGAAAGCAGGAGCCTTTTTTAGTGACACACAAAGCTCAGCTCCCTTCTTCTGTCTCCTCCCCACCCCAACTGCCCTCAATTACCTTTTTAATCAGAGTTTGGGAGGGTGAGAAAGATGGAGAGAGTTGTGCAAATGACCCCGACCCTCAGCCTGAAATTGAGGTGAGTTTGTAAAGTTCATCCTGGGCCTCTGGAGACATTCACAAAGATCACAAATCAGCAGTTTGGTCTTCTCCACACAAAAGGAGCGGACATGAAAGAAGCAGAGTGTAAGGGCCAGGAAAGTGGTGTGTGCACATCTATATAAAACCTACAGATGGAATTCCTGAGACTCATTTCTAGAGCTTGAAGGAAAGCCTTTTTATCCATAGCTGTATGTGAAGGAGGGGTGGGTAGGATGCATAAGGTCAGCATTGGCACTCATGGTCGTCAGCTAACCATATTGACTCAAACGTACAGCCATTGTTTATAGTTAAGTCTGAGGGGTGCACTGGAAGAGGGTACATGGAGGACCAGAAAAAGTGAGTCTTGGATCTCAGCCTTATTAATGTGGTAACCTGGAAAACTACCTAACCTTTCTGAGTCTCATTGTCCATCTGCTATAAATCTGCCTGTCTGATAAGAATCAAATGAGTCACTGTGAAAGTGTTTAGCAAACTGTAAAGTTCTTGGTAAATGCAAAAATATCATTAGAGTAAGTGTTTAATAAGTACTTGTTGAATGAGTGAATAAATGGAGCTCAGCCATGGTGTACTATTAATTTTGATGACATATTGATATCACCAGCAAGCATTTTATCGATCGCTGACAGTTCTATGAGTACCGGTCAAAACAAAACTGCAAAAACCACAAATTTCATCACGGAGTGATATATGGTTTTATACTGGTTTTCTTTGTTTCATTTGTCTCTGTCTTGTCCCAACAATTATATCGTCAGCTGCTTGAAAGCAGAGATCCAGTTGTATACGGCTTGCCCAGCATCAGCTAGGAACAATAGTTGAATTTAGTAAATATTCGGGGATTGAATCTTTGGATCTTTTGCAGACAGAATTTGGGATGCTGGGAGGATGCTCATGCATGGGATAGCCCTCTGCTAGTCGAACTGGAGGGGTGGGGAAGAAGGAGGGCTAGTGGAGAGTGCTCTTGCAGACCTGTCTACGGAAGTCTTTATTTCTTGTGTTCAACACATGTGCCTCTAATCAAATAGGAGAAAAATGGGATGCCTGCAGCAGGTGCAATTGAGTGACAAATTTCTTCCTAGCTCTTTGGGTAGTGTTTTGTCATCTCCTAGAGGGTTAACTCATTGGCTTGCTCTGCCTTACTCTGGCCAACCAAGGGCCCTTCCTTGGCAGTCCCTGCACAGAAAGTAGAATAAAAATAGTGAGACTAGAAGGGAAAAAAAAAAACCTCTTACTTAAAAAGAAAAAAGTGGACAGGGCAAGAGACAGAAAACCTTTATAAGAAACTTTTCCTTAGTTTTGGCATCAAAATGAAGGCAAACTCTTTCTTCCCAATGCAGTCTGCACTGAGGAGAGTGAAATTGCCTTGCCTTCATTACATTCCATTTCATCTATCTGGAAGCCATGATGGCTTCCCCCAAGAGTCTCAAGTCCCTAAGAAGAGGGTTCCTATGAACTCTAGCCTCAGCGCATTGCTCTTCTCTGCAATTGTGCCTTGCAGTGGAAACTGTGAACAGAGATGAAGTGACTTGCAGGACTCCAGCAATTGATCCAGGACTGGATAAGAGGCAGAGGATTGGATACACCAGATAACAGACTCTAGATCCTCAGAGGCTGAAATAAGCAGAAGGACCCATGCAAAGGGAGAGTGTGTAGTGCAGAGGCAGGCAAGAGATGCAAAGGACTGATAGTTGGAGGGAGACAGATCATTTCAAACCTGAGCATCTCTTAGAAGGCGAAGGATCTTTTCTATGGGAAGGAATGGAGGTATTAAGAGGACAAAGTGATTGCTGAGCAATGCCCACCAAGATTGTTTCATGGACCCAAAGCTCTTTAAACAATTACATGAAACAGGTAGAGACTAGCTGTTACCAAGGAAAAAGGAAAAAGAAGACAGTGGTTAGACTTGTTTGTTTAAAAAGAGAATAGCAGTGATTCATCATCATACTTTAGACAGCTAAATAAATATTTACTAAATGAGAGTAACAAAAACCTAAAAAGCAGTCTTCGAGTGGGTGCCGGCCTGTCCACAGCTGTACCTGAGTGGGACTTTGTTCCAGGACCACAAAGGCTTGGGCTTGAGAGGACCTGTCAGCTGTAGGAGCTTGTGTTGCCTTCAGCAAGGTGAAGCAAGAAACTTGAAAATGTTTTGGCAGACTTACATTATTGTAAAAAAATATAACTGCTAAGTCATTATTATTCCTGGTTTAGGGACATGAGGATAACAGGAAAATTGAAATAAAGAAATGCCCAGACTGCATTTTAATCATCAATTTCTCCAGTCTTTTTTTCCTTGATTTTTTTAAAAGTTAAACTATAGGAATTATGAGACTGGCAGAAATATACATCACACTTCATTCACATGAAAGTGTCAGAGATTCCTAGAACGATCAAGGGGTAGATGTGCTTAGAAAGCCCCTACTTCCCTTGCAGTTTCATAGCAGGGGCAAATGAGTTCCAGAGCAGGGAGGGGCTTGTGCAGGGCACACAGGGGCAGAGTTCCCAGGTTCCTGCTTCTCACTCTGCACCCTCTTCCACCAGACCACACATTCCACCTTAGACAGAAGAGTTCTCAACATGACGAACATCACAACAGAGATTCTCCTCCCATGGCCACGTTAGACCTGCAGATGCTTCAACCATCATTTCCTCGTTGCCATGGCTCTGAAGTGTTTTCTGCGTAGGGGATGGCACGAGGTTCTGCTGGGAGTCAGTCATCACAGTCCTCCGTGGCCTCCTGGGAGGGAGCCCCAAAAGGCTGTTTCTGTCTAGGTTGAACCTTCCTTGTGCACGTGCTAACCCATCAGCCTGCAGCACTGTCAGCTCTCAGGGACTCGCTTGGCCGATGGCCCAATGGAAATCCCTCCACCTAGGCCACCTTTCCTTTTCCAATGCACATGTCCCATGCTCTTCTTTCCTTATAGGGAATTTACACTTAAATGTGGTTCCAAACAAAATTAAATGTAATTACACACACATGATTTTTGGAAGATCCGTGGTCTTAAATTGTTCATGCCAAGGCTTGAACAGGAAGATTCATAAGAGGGTAACTGCTGTAGGTGTCTCAAAGATCTTGAGATACCATTTTTAAAAAAAATGAAACTCAGGCTGAGGGAAATGAGACAGAAAAAAAAAAAAGTAAGTAATGGTTTTGTGGAAAAGGATATAAGGCCATGGATACTGATGGCACACAAGATGGCCCATGTTTCAGCAGGGACAGTAGCTGCAGACATGATTTGATGTATTCTGTTTCTGTTCCCTAAAGAGCACTTTGAAAAGTAACAGCCTAGGGACTAAAGTTATAAGAATTATTTTCTCCTTGTGGACCAAAAAAATGTAGATTTATGATACTCAAGTGAGTAAGAGATTGCAGAGGGATGGAATAGGCGGCGGGAGTGAGGTTGATTAGTCTGGAGAATCAGAATGTGAGCGAGCCTCATTCAGCTGCCTGGCCGTCCATGACACGGGGACTTCATGTCACTCAAAGACCCCATGGTGACTGGAGGAGTCACATTCCTGAAAAGAAAGAATTCAAGGGTTTGGGGCTCAGAAGACGAAGATCCCCTTCCAGCTGAACTCCCTTTGTCACTGGCAACCCCAGAAAGTCTGCAGCGGGCAGCATGTGGCTTGGGGGTCTGTGGCTCCGAGGACTACACACAGACTCCCTCACTCATCTACATGGGGCCCGTGTGCTCCACACACACTGTTCTCCTGCAAGGAGGGGCCTCTGCCAGAGCCTCACAAACACCGTGTTGTCAGCACTCCTCCCTGCCCCCACCACCCACTCCTCACGTCCATCGTACTTAACAAGTAGCAAATCGACTTATTTGGATTTTATCTCCCTTTTATTTCCCCTACTTGCCCCATTTTGGGGTTGCTAGTAAACCACATCATGGGGTAAAAGGCTGGCAGCCGGGGAAGGAAAGAATAAAAATGCAAGTACAGAGCTAATGAATTAATTTGATTTTGATGTACTAAGAGTCCATAATGAACTCTCATTTATTCAGGGATATGTTTGCAAGCTAATGTAGTCTTCTTTATTTTCTTCCTTCTCTGCTTGAGGCTGAGTAATTTAGACCTTGTATAAAGCAACAAGGAGCTTTGTAGAAAGAACACAAAATAAGCGACCAGGATCTGATTGTCTTGTCTTGTCTTTTCCAAGTCTTTTCAAGATTCTACATGTTGTCCATCCCCTATTAGAGTGCCTGCTTTTTGAGGGCCAGATCTAAGTCTAATTTGAATTCACATCCTTCCTGCCTTTCATTCCCACCCAAAATATCTTATGAACATGTCAACAAATGTAATCCATTTTTTAGTAGTTTCACGGTATTTCATTGCATGATATCCCATAATTTATTTAACTAGAATCATTATTGGACACATGGATCATTTTTCATTTTTTTGTATTTCTAACATGCTTTGATGAGCATCCTTTTAAATAAGTCGTATGCACTTTCTTAACTGTTCTCTGAGGGTAAAGCCCTAGAAGGTAATGGTGAAGAAAAAAGTCGACGTGTGTCTGTAAGGGTTTTGATACATGTCACTGATTTATACTTTAAAAGTATTATGCCAACAGTGTATGAGCATTCTGATTTTCCTGCACCTTCACTCAGGGATCCTGGGAGGATGTTTTCCATGGTCAGATCTCAGTGAGAAATAACTTCTTTACACGGAATTGCTCCCAGTGTGTGGCATTATTATTCAGTGCCTTTACCCTCAGTTTCCGGTCTCCAAGTTCTAGCCCTTTCAAATCCAATACCATAAATTTGTAAAGGTCAGCCTATTTTCATCCTCCACTGGTTTGTCTGACCTTGTTTGTAGATCCACCCTTTCCATTCTGCTATGTCACCTCTGGTGGGGATGGGAGTGGAATGGGGAGGGAAAGGCTAAAAAGATGAGAGCCCCAGAAAGAAGCAACACATCCTCACCCACTCTTAGAAAGGCAGCACCCTCAAAAACAAAATGTCTGACTTGGCAGAGTCATCCTGTTTGTTCTTATTTGTAAAAAGAAAAGAAAAGACAGCCAAACTTTTGTGATTTTCTTAAGATCCAGGATTCTTTATGGACTGAACCATCTAAAACATTTGCTCTCAAACTAGAATAGTGATCTCAGCTTTTAGCCTTGGATGCTATGTCATAATTCTGGTTTATGGCAGTCCCTTGGGCATTCCTGCCTTTTAGCCATTTATTACTAGACTGAGATAAAGAGGAGATAGATTTTGAAGCAAAGTTAGTGGTGAAGGAAAGGGCAAGGGTGCAGGTGGAGAGCTGAAGAGGGAAGCCAGACACAGGGGAGGCAAAGAGCCAAGGGCAGAGCAAGAAGTTGGTAGAGGGGAGAGGAAATTGGAGGTGAGTGCTTTATCAAAGCCATCCGGGTTCCCAGGGCCTGCCTCCTTCGTTACAGCAAGAATGCAGAAGGGCTCAGAAATCAGTGTGTAGGTGTATGCAGGAGTGGCCCCAGTCTCCACCTGACCTCCCCTCCCAAAAAACCACCCCAAATAAACATTGCAGTGTTTTCCCTAAGCTCCCCCCTTCAAACCAAATTGCACCCCAAAGCTCCTCCTTTATGGAAATTCTGGAGCTGTCCCCAGGAATGTCTAGAATTGGCATCAAAATGTGCAACCAATACAAAATTCTTTTTAAATATTCTGAGCCTCTAGGTACCATTTGATATTTTAATTATGTAATTTACTGATTAAGTGGATTAATAAAGAACCACCACTCACGAGATTTTCTAAGGCTCTTGACGAGAGGTTTCTTTCCCATCCTGTAAACCACAAAAGGCCCCAGGAAAGCATAACAACCGAATGCTAATGAGGGAACCTCTGGTGCAATGGGTTTGAATCCAGGTGCCCAATTCACAGCCATCACCAGCTTGGGGTGGTCAGAGACACAGAGTAGGCAGCAGGAGGGAGGCCCCAGGGCCTCTGCCAGAAAAGACACAGGTACATTTCATTTTCCATAAGCTGCCAGGTGTCTTGAAGAAGTCAGGGGCTTGGAGAGTGGAGTGGGATTTCTACAATTTGGCTTGTTGATGTTTACGGATCACCTTGAGAGCACTTTTAAAGCTAATAATTGTGCTTTTGCTAATCATTGTCTGAATCAACAACTGGTTCTCTGGAAAGGGTGACTGAGACTCTGGTCTGAAGAATGAAGATCAGCACATACCAGTCTCTGAAGTGACAGAGGAAAGCAAACAAGCCTGACTTTTTCAGGGGTTTTTTTGAACTTTGGAAAAGGGTAGCATAAGCCTTAGAGAAAGCCCTTTGCTAAAACACAGGGGTGTAAGACAGAACCTTTATCACCCAGCCAACATGTCAGAAAGGACCCAATTGCTCATAGTTGATTGGAAAGTAGAAGGCAGGAGAGTGTGTGTGAGGACAACACCAGCACTCACAGCTGTTCTTTCTCATGCATTCAGATAGTGATGCGTTTTCCCAGCAGAAGTCTCCATGTTGCTCCCTGCCAAAAGCAAGGAATGAATTTGGAACTTGGGCCAAAAGAGCTTAGTATATATGTCAACACTCTATAGAGCTTGGTAAGGCTGCCCTCATTTAATTAATGGATGCTCTCTTCATTAGGGACTGGGGGCTCTCGTAGTGGACATTGGGAAGGCTAAGCAAAGAGAGAAACTGGGCTTGTGTCACCTCTTTGGTTCTCAGGACTAGTAACTGGTGTGTCTTTTAATACCCTTTGATAGGCTATTGAGGAGCGTGAAATAGGCAAATCATTAGTTAAGGAATGAAGTGCTTTCTTGGGGGCTACTGGTTTGCTAAGTGTTGATGGATTTTGTCCGGAAAACAGTGCGAGTAATTTTTGTGTCCAAAGAAATGTGTTGACTGCTTTGAAAACTTGTTGAATCCTAGCCTATGTCCATCCACTTGCCTTTTTACTGGCTTTCCCTGCTCTCTTTCTTTTCCTGATGTGGTCAATCTAAGAGAGGACAAATTCCTGCCCTTCCATTAATTGTATGAAAACATACCTTAAAAGAAGGAGAAGGGAGAATCCTGTCAGATGTATTTCAGGCCTATGCCAATGTCATGGACTCTTTGCAAGGAAAATTTGTGGGCACCCAAGAGACCCTTTCATGCTCGAATACACTGCCTTGTTTGGCTGACTCTGCGTGGGGTGATGGGATCAATCATGCTCTCTGATTCGGCCTCTCCATTTGGTCAAACCACTGATTCTATTGATCTTTTCATGGAACTTGGCCAATCATTTGATTGAATTAACCAACCTGAGTGGCTGTTTTTGTTTTCGTTTTTCTAGTAGACACAGCCAGTGCCTCAGGTTATCATTAGATGTTTTACTTCTGGTGTTTGGAGCCTGACAGAGAAAAAGCAAAATTGACTGCTCATGACAGCAGCTAAAAACTGTCAGCTTTACATAGCCAGCCAGATCCCTCTGTCTCTTGTCAAACAGTCTTCACCAGGAGGGAGACTTCCCAGCAGTGGCCTCTACTGAGCCCAAAGGGCTCTTCTTTGCTGACGCTGTGCTGTTCTGCCACATCCTGTCTCTTGTTCTCTGCAGGGTCCACCTGAGACTCGTATTTCTGCAAGCATTCCTTGCGTACGGTGTGTGTTCTCCCGTGCTTAGTCATTCAGCCATAACCTTTCCACTTAGAATTCTACCCTGCCGATGGTTCAGCTCCCTAGTTCAATATTTTACATTTATCTCTATTGAATTCCAGTTGCCTTCTGTTACAAGAGGCACTTAAATTATCTCAGCCTCACTCCTCAGGCTCAGACTCCAAGTCCAGAACAAACCTGTTTAGCACTTAGGAATCAGTGGCCTTGTGAAGCATTTGGGCATATAAATGTGTCTGAGTTGGTCATTTCTTGAATGATGGTGAGGGTAGCACGTTTGTTTAGAAAATGTGGGAGCCACTGAATTTATAAAATCTCCATCAGGCTTCTTCAGTGCTGGAGAAAAAAAGGGACCAGAAAAATTAGAGAGTGAGAAAGTAAATATAACAATATAGCCTATAGGAAAAAAGGAGCTGATATTGTGAACATATGCTAGATTTGAGCACCATCATGTACATCAAAATATAATGTAGCCTTTTTATGCCAAGGAGATTTACAATATATTATGTCATTAGGCCTCTTATTCTTCTTCCACTGGTGATGGAAGGAAGTCATATAGTTTTTCTCATATTTCAGGGCTGGAAGTTTGCTTCAGAAAGAGGGAAGAGCTTGTGATATGTGAGGTGTGGTCCCCAGCTGAGCTGCTCCGTTCTAATATTCTTGCCAGTGGATCACGACCACTGAAAACAGTCTCAGGGTCCCAGGTCTCATGGGCCCCATGGGTCTTCAGAATAAAGGACTACATACTGCAGCATTATACATACCAAGCTGTTATAGAAAAGTCCCAGCTCTAATGTGGGAAGAAATAAACACAATTCATTCCAACCAGTTTATTTCCTTAGATACACTTCTGTCATTCTGCAATCTAGATTTGATTGACTCTTTAAAGTTTGAATACAGCAGAGTTTAATAGCTTCTGTTTTCCTGAAAATCAGGTCTTAATTCAGGCGTAAGCAGATAACTATGGGATCCAGTGAGCATCTCCAGTACCACAAAACCCTACCAATTATGGGCCTCAAAGAGCTCACGGAGGCTGAAAAGCCTCTTGCATCCATGAATCCATGGTTTCCTCTTGGTTCTCTGCTATTTTTGCCTCCATGTGGGTGAAGGGAAGAGAAGAAAGGAGGAAGGAACCAATCATAGGAGTTGGGGCTGGCATGGAAGGTAATCTATGTATCATGATTATGCTGCTTTCCAATTGTTTGAATGTTAGGCCCCCTTATCTCCTTCAGAAGTTGACAAGCAATAGCATTGTTTCTGAGGAGAGAGGAGAAAAATGAGGTGACATCCTGAAATAACAGTGAGGCTACCCAGAAAGCTCTTCGGTGAATTCAGTATATTAATACCATGTAGAAAAGATGGAAAGAGAAACACATAACCAAGGACAAATACAGAAGAGTATTATAAGTCTGTAAGAATAGTGCCAGACAGGCTAACAGTCAGAATGAGCAGAGACTTTAGAAAAATGCCAGAGACAACAACAAAAGCTTTCAGTAGCTACGTCCTGAATTAGAAGAACAAGTAAGGGACAAGTTCACTGTTTGGGGAACTTGGGACAAGTTCACTGTTTGGGGAACTTGGGACAAGGTTAAAGATGAAAAGAGAAAGGAGAATCACTCAAGTGTTTTGTTTCTTTACCAAAAGGCAAGATCCTTCAACAGAGAGGAACAAAATCAATTTTGTTAAAGTAATCTTGGAACTGAAACTGGATAAACAAATTTAAGTGGCCACCCAGAGGCTGTAAAAGTTTTCAAACCTGACAAGTTTTATGCCAGAATT